GCATTTGTTTGAAATTTAGTCTTCAGCATTTCTTTAAAAAATACTGCATGTCATGATTATTTAAGAAACCTCAGAACATTGCAATTAGATTTTTGTAACAAGCATATACTTTATGTCCTTTATTTCCAATTCATGCAATATTTAAAAATGACAATATGATAAAAGTATAAAATGTGAAAAATAAAAATAAATAGTATATTAGACATAAATTAAAATTTTAAAAACACACTGAATGGGGAAGGTGGGTAGTTGGCTGGAGCTGTGGGTAGGAATAGGGAGCAAATAAGAAAACCTAGGAATCTCCATTGGGTTCAGCAACTGCTTGGCCGTGTGGCCTTGGACAAGTCAATTCTCGCTGGTTTCCCAGTCTGTAAAACAGGCAGGATATGATAGCTGAGGTTCCTTCCTTATTAATTTTGAAGTATGTAAGAGCTTTCTCCAGCACCTTAAAATAACATGTTTAATTTTCTCTGTGGTTGTGAAATGATGGAAAAGAAATTAGAAAAATGTAACTGTTAATGAGACTCATCTGCGTTTTGTGATTCCTTAGAATGTGTGGTGTATATTTTAGGGTTACTCCCATTTCTTTTCTTTCTATATCCAAAGGGATTTGTTTAATCTTTTTGTTTCCCCCATTTTCTTCTGTCTCAAAAATCCATGTGGTCTTCCTGAGTCCTCACTGTCTTAATAATCAAGGAGCTTGGCCGTTTCAGCTGAGAATAGCAGCAGTGGCTCTAGTCAGCTTTAATTAGCAGGCAGCACGCAGAGAGGAACAATAAGGAACCAGAATTGAAAACAAATAGTAAACTAGAGAAAATGGAGACAAAGCGAATAAGTAGAACTAGCTTAGGGAGCTGGGAAGACAGAAACCACAACAGTGTTAGTCTTCATTTTCCTTAGAATGGAAAGCCAGGCCAGGCATGTAGTGGGCACTCAGGGGGTTTGCAGGAGTGAGGGGGACAAGGGACGAATAGATGAGAATGAGCATTTGGCTATGTATGGACACGCTTCATCGTGCCAACTCAACTAGCCCTGGGATGGCGGAGGAAGAAAATCACAAAAGGAAACTTAGGATCTCCAGGTTCCAGCACAAAATGCACTTCCCACTGCCGAGGTGAAACTATCTGAGGCACTGAATGAGGAACAATACGATTTTTGAGAAAGCTAAGGAGGTGCCTACCAACCCGAATCAATGCATTTGTTTTTGAGAAACGTGGTGCTTATTTGCAAGTAAGTATTCATTTCATGCCTCGCTATTTGGCTTGTAGGTTGGACTTAATTAAAAAAGCTGTAGCATCTTTGAGTCCAATTTCCTCTTTTCACATAGCATCTGTCCCTGACAGCTTGTGTGAGGCTCGGCCACTTGTTGAGGCTGAGGCTAGAGGAGGAAATGACAAGGGAGAGGCGAGGTGGACATACGCCTCTTGTTGGAGGTGGCACTCTCTAATTCTGCATGGCCCCGTCACATGCTTGGGAGGCTTCTTGGTTTAAGCAAGGCAACAGATGTCTCTGAGAGGGGGATGCTGGCAGCGTCCCAAAGGCCAGCAGGACTGCGGGTTAGGCATGAGTAAGCCGACGGGAGAGGGAGGCACACATGCTTTGCCCTCTGCTCAGAACTGGAAAACAGGCCAACATTGAATAAGAGCAAATTCTAGAACTGAACAGAGGGTGATGGCAGAAAGAAAATACTTCTTTGGAACAAGCATTACCCTGTGGGGTGGAGGTAGATGTAGGGGAGGGGAACTTGACTACTTTCAAAGACAAATTTGCCCCATCACTTCCTACATTGAAATAGATGGCACAAAAGATAAAAGTCAATAGGGTGTTGACTTTGCCTATCAAGGCGGCACTGTTTTGCTTTGCAAAGCATGGCTACCTACATATGCATTTACCCAGAGGTTTGACTTTAAATGTTACCAAGAGAACTGAAGCTTTCTCTCCTTACATCTGTCATTCTTAGTTATCAGGACAAGCCTATCAGTAAATCCAAACCAACCTGTATCTCATTTTGAAACAAGTAATTGAGTTTGTGGTAAGTAAGCTCTTACAGATGGAGCATGCACTTAATCTACTTTCCATTTGAAGGTTTTAGTGTTGCTCTTAAAGCAGTTTGTTTGAAGTTCAAGGTATTAGAATTTGGATCTTTAGGGACTTCATTCTTAATTTAAAGGAATCTTTGTAAATTGCTTGGGACTCGTTCCTGAAATTACTTGGCATTTCCCTAACCGTGTTGTTTTAAAGCACAAGGACCATTTGACCTAACATGCAGCATTCATGTTCTCTTTCTGGGCCTTTGCTCTTGGCCTCTGCATACCCTTACTCCCTAACCCTTATTCCCTAACAGATGTTCTGTCTACATTTTGTCTCTGAACAGCCCCTTTTGCTTTTAGGCAAAGGAACCCAACACTGTGGCACATCCCCCTTGAAGCTTGTGTTTATCGCTCTGTTCCTTGTGGTTCTATGGATAGTGAATCTCTGCTGCTGTTCCTATTTCCTTCCATTTGATATCTGAAGAATATAGTCAGCCTGATTGCTGAGCAGCCTGATTGCTGAGATTCATGGAAGACCATCTCTGGGCCATCTTAGGGCTTAGATTCACACACAGCCACATATCTAGAAAGCCAGCAAAGTCAGGAGCAACAGGGGTTGTGTTTGGCCAGGCAGTATTCCTGTGAGACATGTGTGCCACCATGAATAATGTTTAGTAAGTTTTACTGGTACTTTGCCAATTACACAAGTAATACGATATCTATGGACAAATTAGAACAAAGTATAGATGAGCAAAATGGATGACCTGCCTGCAAATTCTACATTTAGAAGTGTTAGTGGCGGCGAATCCATACGGGTCCGCAGCAACTTCAGTTCTTGCCTCCTCAGAAGAAAAAATTCAACCAAGGGGCATAAGGCAGAGTGAGAGACCAAGGCAAGTTTTAGAGTGAGAGTGAAAGGTAATTAAAAAATTTTAGAGCAGGAACCAAAGGAAGTAAAGGACACTCAGAGAAGGGCCAAGCAGTAGACTTGAGAGATTCGATTGTGTGGTTAGACCGTTGACTTGGGGTTTATATGTTGGCATGCTTTCCAGGGGTTGCATCTCTTCTCCCCTTATTCTTCCCTGAGGGTGGGTTGTTCGCATGCACAGTGGCCTGCCAGCACTTGGGAGGGGCCGCAGGTGCAGTGTGTTTACTGGAGTTGTACGCATGCTCACTTGAGGTGCTTTTCCTTACCAGTGGAGTGTTTCTAGAGGAAGGTCATATACCAGTTAGAGTCCACCATTTTGCCTTGTAGTGCGCATGCTTGGGCCCACTCACCCAACTCCTAAGATCTTACTGGGAAGCAGCTGATCACCAGTTTCAGGTGTTTTCTATCTGTTGGGAGACAGCCTTTCCCTGGCACCGGCTGCAACCAATTATTATTTAAGAGAGACAGATTAACAACTGCCTGACCATCACCTGATGGTCTCCTAACATTCTTGGTTGAGGGTGGAGGGGGGTTCTCCTGCCCTGCTTGTGTCTGCCTGACTCCCTACTGTAACAAAGGTAATGCTTCTGATTGCCTTTTATGCACAGATATACATGTAAATATATATTTTCTTTTTAAATGTGGTCAGACTGTTCATATTAATTTTATTTCAAATTTTACCATGGACATATTTCTGTATCTTTAAGTATTTGACATTATTTTTAATGGCTATGCATAGTTCAGTTGCATGGATGGAACTTTCTTTTTTTTAACCAGTCAGCTATTGTTAGATATTTAGCCTGATCCCAGTTTTTCTTTCTAATAAACCATGCTGCAATGAACATTCTTGTGGCTAAATCTTTGCACATCCTTAATTTTGTTTTAAGTATTAAATCCTAGAAGTTGAATTGTTTGATCAAAAACTGCCACGATTCTTACATGAATCTATCCTATATACCCTTTAGGATGGCACAGAGCATCTGTGTAGCAAAAGTTAGCACCGAATGCTTTCCAAACTAAACCTGAGATAGGGAAAGAGCAGGAAGGACTTCTGCCCTTTACTCTCCTGGAAGTTTTGTATTATTGCCTGCTATAAATACGAAGAGAAGGACTTGGCTCCTTGTATATTTTGGCTGTTGCAAGCCCTAAATATTTAATTCAATATGTTTAAACTAGGCCTTATGAACCACCAGGGGTGGAGGATTTTATGACACTTTTACCATCATGTGCAAATTTGTACATCCACACTTTATCTGTAGGAGTATCTACATACATGTAGTTATGGGGGGCAGAGGATGGAGCGAGAGACAGGCCAGCACCCTTACAGAGATGCGTGTTTTTGATATGCTGAGGAGCATTACTGTAAAATGCAGACTAATAGTATTTCACTGGAGAATAGAAAATACTTAGGGAAGCAGGAGTGCTCCAAAACAACCTTTCAATCCATTAACCAAAAGAGCTTATAATGGAACTCAGGTTTCAAGGGAGGTCAAACACTAATAAATATTGAGAAAAAATAGTTAAAAGGACATCAAGTTAATATTTTACAATCTATTCTTTGATCTTGGAAGGCTTGAAATATTTTTCTACACTACTTCTGTGATTTATTGATTCACCCCTGCCAATTGGCATATTGGAACAGACACAGATGCCTTGCTTTTAACTACAGCTTCCATTTCTATAATGCTTTGCAATACCAACAGATTTTTATGTATTCACTGGCATCACTTATTGATACTGCCACAGTTCTGGAATATTTGCTAGTTAAAAACTGGATCGTTGTCAGTAAAAGCAACTGAAATGTTATTGATTTTGGTTTCAATGCTGTAATAACATCTCTTGGTTTTGTTGTATTGGTTTGGGGGTAAAGTAAAACACCCTGCACTTCACTGACTCTTCCACCTTTATCTGTTTTCAAAATGTGTTCAGAATCTGATATTTTTCTAGTTTGTTGTCAACACCCTAGTCTTGGGGGAAAAATATATCTGTCATGGATTACAATAACCTCTTAACTGGCTGTTTCCACTCTTGCCTTTCTTCAGTCTATTCTGAACCCAGAAGCCAGAGGGAGCTTCCAAAATGTAAGTCAGATGATGTCACTCCTCTGTCTTTGCACTCAGAGCCAGCCTCTGCATGCTGGGCCTTTTTCACCTGCCACACGCCCCACTCCCCGCTTCCATTGCAAAGACAGAGCTGTCAGGAGAGAGTCAGGATTGGCAGCACTCGTCTGCAGCTACCAATCTCAAGGCCCAGAAGCTCTGCCTTCCCTGCTTTTTCTGAAGGTGATTGTCCCTGCTGCTGCCTAAGAGCCCCATTCACTAGTCCATTAAATCCTTTTCCCTCCCACCTCGTCCCCTCAGTCCTGCTGACAATGGCCCCTTCTCACTCCTGCATCATCGATTTTCCCCTGAATTAACGATGATCAGGCTTTGACCCTTCACTCCACCTACACTTTTCTTCTGAGGGCAGCTAATGCCCCCCACCCCCCAATATTAACTCCACAGTCCACTCTCAGTCCTTGCCTTATTTGGCTTCTCAGCCACACTTGCGAATGTTGATTACTTCTTCCACCTTGAAGGTGCTCTTCTGGCTTCCACAAACTGCACTCTCCTCCCTCAGACTTCTGGTCACTGTTACTTCTCTGTTTTTACATTGCATTCCTCTCTCCTTCCCTCACTCAGCTCCAGACATGCAGGCCTCCTTGCAGTTCCTGCAACCAGGTTGGGTGTGTTTCAGGGCCTCCGCACTTGCTGTGCCTCCTGCTTCGAATGTGCTCCTCCTAGCTGTCTGCATGGCTCTCCGTCCCTCTCTTCATTCAAGCACGTACTCGAAAGGCACAGGTGCCACCTGTGCTCCTTTCCCACAGTGTTTCCCCCAGCACATCTCACTATCTGCTTTATGTATTTATTTCATTTATTGTCGGTCTCTGTGCACTAGACTATACGCTCCATGAGGGTGGGAATTTTTATCTGTTGTGTTCTCTGTCATATCTCCAGCACCTGGAACAGTGCCTCATATGTGATAGGTGCATAATAAATATTAGTTGAATGAATGAATGAATGAATATTCACGATACTGCTAGTAGGGTACTTGAAGAAATACTTTTGGGAGTCTTTGTACAGGGATTTAAAAGATTCATAATTTTCTTACAGTTACATGATTTGGGAAAAACAGGGGTGTTTGGGAACAAAAACAAATATTTGGAAGGTGGCATGCCTTTCTTATTTTGCCTTTCTGTATCCACGGAAACACTTTCTCAGAACTGTAAATTGGGCATATGTCCTTAGTGCCTGCCTTGTAACCGCAAGAAGGTGCCATTTTTATGCCACATTGAAAGACAAGGACAGAATCAGAGCAGCTGAGATCTTAAGTCAGCACGTTTGATTCAGAAGCATTGAAAGTGTGGACCTGAGAGACTCTGCTCAAAATGCAGCAAATCTCTTCTTTCTGTCTTTGAGGCCTACTGTCCAGTTAGCAATGTCGCAGGTCACCACTTTATTTTCCCCAAGCGTGTCAGCACGTTGAGTGCACACAGCACCATCCCCTCCCTGCCTGTTCTCACATATATTTTTTTCCTCAAAAATTCCTTCTCTGTTTCTGCTTGCTGAAGTTCCATTCCCTTCAAGGCCCAGCAAAAATGTGTGTGAAGCCTTCCCAGACCCTTGCAGTCCTCATGGACTCCCCCTGTGGGCTATGCCCCTTAGAACAAGCAAGCCACAGGGCAGTCATCCTCTGTATTTTGGGGGGATTGGTTCCGTGGACCCCCCACAGATATCAAGATCCATGGATGCTCAAGTCCCTTGTATAAAATAGCATAGTATTTGCATATTACCTACACACATCTTCCCATAAACTGTAAATCATCTCTAGACTACTTATAATACCAAATACAATGTAAACGCTATGTAAATAGTTGTTACTCTGTATTGTTTAGGGAATAATGACAAGGAAAAAGTCTGTACATGTTCAGTGCAGATGGAACCATCCATTTTTTTCAAATATTTTTGATTTGTGGTTGGTTGAATCCACAGATGTGGAACCCAGGGATACGAAGGGCCAACTATATCCCTCAGTTAAGCTGTGAACACACACACACACACACACACACACACACACAGATCATAAACTCATTGAGGGCAAGGATTATATCATACTTTTTTGGTATTTTCAGCACCTAGAAAATGCCTTGGACACTGAAGGCACTCAGAATTGTAATGAAATGGAAACAACCCCTTTAAAAAAAAATCAGGGCCAGGCATGGTGGCTCACGCCTGTAATCCCAGCACTTTGGGAGGCCGAGGCAAGCAGGTCACTTAAGCACAGGAGTTCAAGCCCACCCATCTATAAAAATAAAATAAAATTTAATTTAAAAAAGACAAGAGAGAGAGACAGAGCTGTGAGGAAATCGCTTTGTGGTTATTGAGGTGTTTTCTACCAGTGTTTTCATCTGGTAGCATGGTCAAATCCCAGTGAGACTTGTCTGTTGAGCCTACTTACTTCTTTTCACAATATTTGTTAGTAAGAGCAGGCAAGTGCTTTTGGGGGCTCTAAGTGAGCCCCTGATAAGCAAGTTTTTGACTAATGCAGATCTGGCCTCTGTGGCATTACTGCCTTTGCCAGCAGAAGGGATTAGGCAAATTGGCAAAGGGTCTTGAGCCAGCAGGGTCTTGTGGGAGGCTTCACTGATGCCTGAGATGTTGGGCATTGGGTCCCAGAGGAAGGAGAGTTGGTGCGATCTTGGCAGCTGAGCTGTCTGTGGGCACCACAGGCTAGAAATAGTCCATGTTAAAGAAATATGTATTGTAGCTGAGAAGCCCTAGGCCAGGATTACTCTAAAAAGTGAAAGGTCTGTCTATGTGTAATCACCTTTTTTTTTTTTTTTTTTTTTTTTTTGAGACTGAGTGTTGCTCTGTCTCCCAGGCTGGAGTGCAGTGGCGCGATCTCTGCTCACTGCAACCTCCACCTCCCAGGTTCAAGCAATTCTCCTGCCTCAGCCTCCCAAGTAGCTGGGATTGCAGGCGCCTACCATGCCCAGCTAATTTTGTGTATTTTTAGTAGAGACGGGGTTTCGCCATTTTGGCCAGGCTGGTCTCGAACTCCTGACCTCAAGTGATCCACCTGCCTCAGCCTCCCAAAGTGCTGGGATTACAGGCGTGAGCCGCCATGCCCGGCTGTAATCACCTTTTAAAAATTCTAGCTATATCTAATGTGTTTTATTGAAGCATATGCTAAAATGCTGTATTTGTAAGGATTCTCAATGATACTGGGTAAATGACTTGTAGTTTCTGAGTGCTGTAGAGTAAAACAATAGAGATGTCAGATACTCCAGAGAGGAGGAAGGGTACCTTCAAGAGAGCATTTCCCTAACAGACTCAGTTAGCTTCATTTGCCTAACAAACAGACTCAGTTAGCTTTGGCCTTGAAGGTATTTGCATGTTATAGGGCTGGGTTTCCTTTTATTGAATGCTTTTTAAAAGTGCTTCTTTCTAATGGCTTATGTGTACACCATTGGAAAAACGAGGGGCAGAAGAGATAAAGTGCTCTAAATCTATTTAGCAGTCCTCAAGGGCACAACTACAGCCAGATGTGTAATGAACTTACTATGAATTGTCTTGCAGAGGTACAGAGTGACTTCCTATGGGTAAACACTTTGCCTGTAGCCTGAATTCATGCACAAACTTACCTCTATGACAGGATCCTGACTGGAGGGGAGATTTGCCTTTGGGAGCTGAGCAAGTCCAGGAAGATGCTCTGTTAATGGCTCCTCAGGATTAAGAAAGGGGATCTATTCTAATGTTGTAGGACTTTCTTCTTAGTTCAGGTAAAGACAGGGTTCTTGTTACAAGGCCATGAAATATTAGGCTCGAAGACACTTGAAGGGTGAGAAAAATTGAATTTATTGGGTGAAAAGGGAAAAAAGGGGAAACGGACCCTCAGCGGAGCAAGACTCCTGCTAGTCAGTTTCCCACCTCACAGATTGAATCCTAGGTTCCACCCTGGAACAGGAGGGGCCAGGCTCCTCCCCCCTGCAAAGGGCACTAATTCTGTGGCTCCACCCTAGTCTCCTAGTGTTCTGGGGCCCCTTACACCTGGCTGTCTCATACCCCTCTCTGAAGAAGTACATCTGACTGCAGTTAGAAAGGATAAGGACCGGCCGGGCGTGGTGGCTCAAGCCTGTAATCCCAGCACTTTGGGAGGCCGAGACGGGCGGATCCCGAGGTCAGATCGAGACCATCCTGGCTAACATGGTGAAACCCCGTCTCTACTAAAAAATACAAAAAACTAGCCGGGCGAGGTGGCCGGCGCCTGTAGTCCCAGCTACTCGGGAGGTTGAGGCAGGAGAATGGCGTAAACCCGGGAGGCGGAGCTTGCAGTGAGCTGAGATCCGGCCTCTGCGCTCCAGCCTGGGCGGCAGAGCGAGACTCCGTCTCAAAAAAACAAAAAATAGGGATAAGGACCAAGACCCATCCTAGCCTCCTGCTGACAGGGGGCGTTGTTTTGGGGAAATGGCAGTCAGAACTCCCTCAAGACCGATCTGAGGGTCCCCGGAAGAAGGGGCCACCAGCTGAGGCTCTGGTTGCGTGATCATTTGGAGTTTGATGGTCTGAAGTAGAGCAGAGGCAAACCAGGTTATTAGAAAACATGTATTAAAACGAAACAAGGTTGGGGAGGGTAAGGACAACTAAAAAATCCCGAGGCCTTTTAGCAGTTTGCAGAGAGAGAGGGCGGCTAAAAGCCCGGCTGGTACTAAAACGTTACCCTTTTGCCAGCATGTTGGGCTTCTGGGTTCCCTCCCCGCCTCCCACAGCCCCTGCCTGCTTTCCCTCTTCCATCCTTGCATCCCCCAGGCCTGGTGACCTTGGCAGGCACCACTTGTGGGTGCCAAAGCGGCTTTCACCTATGAAGCAGGGGGGCCTAAAGCATAAGAATGATTCGCTCTCATTTATGTTTCTATCCCCGCAACTGTTAGTAGCCTTGGAGTTCCCTAGACCTCATTTATGCTATAGGTAGTAGCACGACCCTTATTTATGGAACAAGAGTCGTGGCTTAATCAGCAGGAATTAGCCATGCTCACCTGTGC